GAAGCATACTATAATTTGAGACTTGTAAAGGTGTTACTCTTTTTCTTTTCTTCGTTTATATATAAAATTTTACACTTTTCAGCCCTGTCGTTAGATGATCATTCACTCACATGACTTATATTTATTTCCTCCACCAGACAGAGAAAAGCAATGTACTTTAACCACATTGTAGTATTATTAATAAACATAATACTGCAATGAATTGATGTGAATATACACCCAAGCACTATAAAAAACACAATTAAGACAATATTACATACATGTTCTAAACAAATTATCTTATGTTATTCATCATCACCATCAGCCATCATCATCAGACATATAGAATATTTTATTGCTCTTGTATCATGTTATAATGGATTACAATATTAAGAATTTAAGGCACTGGTAACAACAGCTAGCTGTATATGCTGTTGAAAATAAGCTTTGCTGTTTTATGTTTTGTATATAATTCTAAGAATTAATGTTTAGTCTTAATATGTGAAGTGTGTTGTTGTATTTGTTTTTAAAGTTTCCAGTTTGTGATGGTAAGTATAAAAGGTTTGTATTTTATGTGCTTTATCACCACAGACTTAGCTTGGCATTCACTGCACTTAGCTTTTGTAACAGACTGCAGATTATATGATTAACTGGAGAATATTTCCTCCTCTTCTTAGGTACTGTTGGTTGAATTACAGAAGCTGCCTTAAATATGTGTGTGTGTGTGTGTGTGTGCGTATGTGTGTGTGTGCATGTACCAGAGATGTGTGTATATATAGCAGGTAGGGGGGGCATCTGAGATCCATACCCTTGCTGCTTTCCAAGGTTCCCCCTACTGAATTTATCTTGGTACACTTGGTACACAGAGACTATGAGGAGGGGGCCTAAGGCAATTAATTTCAATATCATTGTGGTTACTGACTAAGAACACTATTCTAAGTATACAACTGTTTTTTAATGGAGAAAAAATGTTTATGGTACATGCAGTGATTGGTCTTTTGTTAGGTACAATGTGAATGACTGTTGATATTGTCTGAGTTAGGGAGTGGGTATTACAAAGCAATGTATGATTTCTCATATGGATTCATATGTATGTGATATACAGGTAAAAGTTCAAAATTATGTAATGAGTTCATGAGCACAGTTATGACCTAATATTACAGTTTTACATTAGGAATTATGATTTAATGTATAACCATTTTATCATCCCACAGGAGAAACTGGTGAAGGAGAGGCCTCTGCAGTTAACGGAGGGGAGGAGATGGATGTAATGTTCCTGCAGTCGTCACCACTTCTTTCTCATCGTGTCGTATCAGCACCAACCTCAGATGTGGAATCCACTGCACCTTCTCATGCCTCCAGCTTCTCCCCATATAAGCCAAACAATGTGTCACTATCCAGGTAATCCACGAAAACTTTTTTATTATTATTATTATTACTACTACTGCTGTTTTTGTAGCTTTTATTATACGTAAACTTGTGTCAACTTCGTATATTAGATCTATATTGATTAGACATTTAAGATGATTGTAGTACAGAGAATAACATTTACTGTTTAAGTGTTTTAAAGTCAAGCAAAACTAATGTATTGTATTATAACTCTTATTGTACTTTTTCCAGAGCCTCTTCATTACGTTGTTCCTCAACCTCCACCTCACCTAAACACAGCACAAGTGACAAACCATTAGGGGTGCCAACTCTTAGGAATGAAGGCAGAGAGTCTTCACCTATAGGACGGGTTTGTATATGATTCTACGTGTTTTAGCTACCAGGACAAATTACAGTAAGATGTTATAAGAATATGATTAAAGTTAGTATTAAAGATTGTGGTGTTAAGACATTGTTTTATAAAAGAAAATGCAGTATGTTTTCAATAGATATGAAGCATTACATGATTGTGTGTTAGTTTTAATTGTAATGGCTTATTTTCTTTTTAACAGATTTCAGTGTCAAATAATTCTTCTCCACTGCGTCGTAGTCGACCCCAGTCACTTAATCTGGGTCGTGGGCTTCATGACCCAGATGCCTCAAGTCCTGACACTCCACAGCAAGATAATCTAAAGGATGGAGAAATTCCTCAGGCATCCTTACCAGATTTACCAGGTGCAGTGGCGGGAATGAAACACGTCACCCTTGCAGAGCAATTCTCCTCCAACTCTATGGAGAAGCTGCGTCGCCTTAAGTATAAACTCCACCGTGCCCTGGGCTCTCATGATGGCCCACTAAGCTTCCCTTCAGATGATGCTGAAACATCACCCTTAGTTTTGGCAACTCCTACACGACCATCGCCAGTAACCACACCAGACCCAGAAGTGGCTTGCCAAAATGCTAATTCAATTGAGACTTCAAGCAGACCACTAACACCCTTATTAAAAAATGCTCATGATTCTTCACCTGGACGCATAACTTGCAAATTGCCATCTGCTGACCGTGAAACTCCAGTTTAAGACAACTGTAGGCTGGAATAGTTATTTTCATATCATATAGACTTAATAAGAAGCTTTCCATTTAGAAGTAAGGTAAATACACACACACACACACGCATGCATAGGACATGCACGCACGTGCACACACACACACACACACACACACACACACACACACACACACACACACACACACACACACACACACACACACACACACACACACACACACACACACACACACACACACACACACACACACATTCACACATACACAAAAGGGCATACCTGTATTTGTATATACTGCAATCATTTGAAACAAAAAGTAGCAGGAGTTGAAAATATCTTTAGTCATCTTAGATTTATATCAATTTCTAGGAATTTAAATACCAAGTTACTACTGAACCTGATTAGTGATATCCACAGAGAAAAGGTGCTATGCTGTCACCAGACAGGGAGCTTCTACAAGTCGTCAATATGTGATAGAGAAATAAGACTGCTTATGGCTGTGACAGTTGTTGCAATTTTATTTTCTAGATTCATTCACATGATGCAATGCTTTTTCATCTGATGTTTAATGGTTGGGAGTGCTGGAGTCCTTTCATTTACATTTTTATATCATAATTCTTCTTTTTCTTGGTGTTATGAAACACTGAAAGACACATAACTTTTAAGGCCTAATTACTTTATTTGTGTCTCATTAGATAGCTGTGGTGCTGTTACCTATGTTCAATTATGTTAAAAAAGCAATGTTGCTATTTTATGAAGCTTACAGTTTTAAAAATCAGTTATCTTATTGTTTTAGTTGTACTCTATGTTTACAGCCTTCATGAACTCCAACATTATATAAGTGGTGTTGGCTCTTTTCTTAAGTATGTGCCAATTGTGATACTTATCATACATCCATTTATGTACTGGTGGCAACACCAGTTCCATATAAGGGTAGTAAGTCTTACTCTCCTGAATGAAGCAATGTTTTCTTTGTTTGGTATTTATGTTACTTTGATTGACATAGTAACACGTGGATATCTGACTCTTGATAATATGAACTGTGACATTCTGTTCTTAAAATATGTGTCAAACTTTTCACAGACTTATTGTGTATATTTATTAGTAATAATAGACTTACTATCATGAGCTACTAAATGTACATGTTATACACAGTAATACTTGATAATTTACACCAGTGTGCCTGTGTTAAGATTTTTACTTATTCACTTTAATCTGAATGTTTCAGGGCAGATTATCAATGTTTTGATTGAGTGAAAAATAACACCTTCAAATTGGAGGACATGTTTCGAGAATGCAATAGTCTTAGATAATGCTTGATATGCATTCATTTTCTACATCCGTTCCTCCCATGCATCAATTGGACCGTTGTAGGTTCAAGTGAGCATTTAACATTAATATCACCATTACCAGATACTGTATGTTAAACTGTTCTTGTTCCCTTTTTTTTTAATGTTTTTCTCATCCATTGTTTATTATACTAAGAAATATGTCATGTTTGTTCATCCTCTTAAATGAGAGAATCTACTTCAGTGTTTACCTTTCATCACACTAGATTCCAGCAACAGCATATCCCTGCCGTTGAATGGGTGGAGGATAAGGAATTTCTTGTAGCAGACACTGCAAGAACTTTGCACATACAGTTGGTGTGATTGCCTTTTTATTCCATGTTAATTGTCCTTTATTTCTAGATGAGACTTGTATCTCTTTTATGAAGACATTACATAATTAGATTAGTGTACCTGAAGATAAAAGAGCAAGATGCCAATGGGAACTTCTTGATAGCCAACTATGATTAACAGGAAAATATTTTTTGAATGATTGTAGATATTCTCATAGATTCTCTCATACCTCACCTACTTGAAATGTATTGGTGTGTTTCTTAGATAAACCATCACATGTAGGAATAAACACATTGTAATTGGCAATATCAATCACTCATGGTCATGCATTTTATGAGGGCTGAATTATGCTTCAGAATGAGCATCATTTTATGCAAATTAATCATGGAGTATAATGTGTTTCCATTTGCATTTATCTTCATAGACCCTTTTTAAGATAAAAGGTCATTTCATATCATAACATTATCATCATTGTAACACATTTTGTAATGGTATTGTTTGATTTTAAACAATATTTAGTGCATCTGTTTGTAAATCTATTTATGTTTACTTAATTAAGTAATCTAATGTTATTAATGTTTATTTTAATACCTATACTGTAATAATAATTTGAATGGGTATTTATTGGTCAGTGCTTTATATTCATGTAACCATTTTCTGTTGTTGCAAATGTGTACAACAGGGCATTTACAGGAAGTTTATAAATAAATTGAAAACTATAAATGTAGTTTGTATTTCCACTGAGCCAAAGTGTATAATGTAAAAGTTTCTGTACACAGCTAAGAAAAAGACCTTATGAAGTAAGAATGCTATATCAAAATCAGAAATATTATTCTGTAATGTTCATTGAAACCAAATAAGTCCTGTCTTGTCTGTTTGTTTCTGCTCTTTCACACAATTACAAAGTGCTGTGTGATTTTTTGTGCTTGCTCGCCATGATATTTTTGCTTCAATTTTTAGGCTGTGAATTAATGTTTATGGTGTTTGCTCCTGCTACACAATGCAAACTTCAGTTCATTTATTCATATACAAATTATTTATTATCATAGCAAAGAAGATTAAATGAAAGGTTAAAGAGCAATGCGTGTTACCAGTTAATTCCATAAGATCCATGTATCACAAGCAGCTTCCATCATTTTACCCTGTAGGGGACCAAGGTCTATATAAGGTTGGGCTCTATGCAAATTAAGGAATGTTATGTTACCACAGGTAAATGACATTTGGAATGAGTTTTGTAGAACAATTACTCTATCAACCATGATAATTGCACACCAACACTATACCTGGTGATGTAGAATGTTCCTTTGGCTGGAGGGCTAGGTCCCTCGACAAAATGAAAATTTCAGTTAATCTAACTGAATATGTCATAACAAACAAATTAAAAATCAATAATAATGACATACTTTTGCTGACTGATGTTACAATTTACATTGACTAGAAAGTACATTTGTTCTATGTAAAGACTAAGTCACCTGTCAAATTTAGCATCAACATGAATTATTGAGGTATTCAAAGCCATATAATGTAATTCATGTAATTTATTTACTTGATTTAGGTATTTAAGATTCTTTAGTGTGCCAAGTGTCATTTAGGGGCACCCTAACAGCTGAAGTTAGTGCAGAACAGTTGAAGTTAGTGCATTATATTCTGAGAAATATTATTTTGAGTGCAAATGCACAAGTACCTTAATATTTCATTTATTTATTCTGAACAGCTCTCTTAACGAAGTAATCTTCCAGCAGACCTTAACAGGTGGCATAAGAAATGGCTGACCACACGAAGAAAATATTATGATGGTTCTTACAGTCAATGGCAGAACAAGTTGTAGCATCTATTCCAGTTATTTTAACAATCTTATTCATATCTTACTGATCATCAGCTTGCTTTCACCTTTTCAGCTGCAACACTGCTATTGAAACAGTCAAGTGTAAAACTCAACTGACTGATAAATTTCGTCAGTTAAACGTCCTAATCATACATAGTCAGTCTTCTGATTTATGCAATGATGCAATGAACCATTGCTGTGTTGTGCAAGAGGATGTGGATCAACCTCCACTGACGGAGCCATCAAGGACTGGTATCCCCAGGTCCAGTCCAATGTGTCAAGTTGGGAGGGTTGGACACCCAGGAGGTGGAGAAAGCAAATCTGCAACCTTTTTCCATCATAAATAAAGGAGTGCTCTAAGATGGCACTGGAACGCCACCTCAATATGAAATCAAAGAAGTGGATACGTCTCACAGGGCCTCAGTTCCTTTGTCATGAGAGGGATGGGGACCAGATGGAACAAGGGAAGCTAGGACTATTGGTCCTCTTATTCACCCATCTGTAAGGATAGACAAACCATTTTCTCACACTACCGCAGGGGACCAATTGTCAATACTTGGACACCCAAACATGCCATTAGGAGAGAGCCCATGGCAGGCAGCTATGATTGCATAAATATGGACGGTCTTAGAAAACTACACGGGGAGCTCCGAAAGATTCCAGTAGCAGTTTTGGTGAAGACCCATGTGGCCCAGCGAATAACTAACAAGAAGTCATTAACCCAAAGCAGGATCTATAAAAGGTATACTAATGACTTTTAAAATAAGGATAAAAAAGAAGACGTGTTGGTGCTCACTCCGGTGGCAAGGCTAGAAAGGCACCCACGGAGCCCTTTGGTGTCAACTCCAGAGGATTACATATGGTGGGTTCCAAGGAGGAACTAATGCAGTCTAGGCAAGGCCCATGGAACCAGGAAAGGGACACGAGCTGTAAAGTAGGACTTTTGACTGCAGGAATACAAATGTCCTAATTGATATCATCATCATTCAGAGCTAACGCCAAAAGGTTAACATAGCCACATCCAACCTTCACTTCCACCGACGAGGGTCCCTCATGGCAAGAAGCTCAGGTTTGGCAGCTTTGATCAATCTGCCCACACCACGACTCCTAGGTCGTTCCACAGGCCTAACTCCATCCAGGGTTGTCTCGCACAAAGACAACCTGGTGGGCAGGATCCATCTGTGGGAAACAAGCCAGGTGGCTGTATAGCCTGAGTTGGCAAATACAGATTGTGTAAATATCAGGTCCTGTGTCAATCTCACGGTGCAACCGTTGGTTGGACACGTGGTCCCGCCAACAGTACCCCATGATCTGGTGCAAGGACCTATTACAAAAGGCATCAAGATGAGACTCTAAGGCACAGAATATTGTCTAGGTTTCACCACCATATAGCAAAACTGGCATTATCAGGGCCTTGAAAACCCATAGCTTGGTCCTTCTGCACAGGTACTAGCATCTCCAAATACTCTTCTCGAGAGAGTTCATGATCCACCTACTGATTTCCTATTATGACAGGCCAGAGTTATGAACTACATTACCAAGGTATGTAAAGCTCTCTGTGACTTCAAGGTTCTCACTGCAAGCATGTACCCACCAAACAGGTTCTCCTAGCAAGACCCCAAAAACTTTTATCTTGGTCTTGGTCCAAGGGACCTCTAGACCTAGGTAATTTGCTTCAATGCTAAATGCATCCAGAGCCACCGCTAGGGTTTCCAAGGACTCAGAATAGCAAAATCAGTAAATTCAAGGTCAGTAACCTTGATATTGCCCAGAGTTGCTACACAATGACTTTGGACGGTAGCTCTGCCCAGTATCCAGTCCATGCAAGTGTTGAAAAGTGTTAGTAGGACACAGCTTTGCCTCATTTCTAAACTAACAGGAAAGAAGCTCGACAGTCCTCCACCATACTAACAGCACTTTCAGTACCAGTATACAAGCTATTAGTCCAATAATCCTTGTTGGAATTACTCTCAATCTCAGGATCTCTCAGAGTGATTCCCGATGCACCGTATCAAACGCCTTCTTAAGATCGATGTAAGCTGTGAGCAGCCCACGCCCGAACTTACGACGGCACTCTACAATGACTCGGAGTGCCAGGATGGTCTATTGTAAACTTACCAGGAGTGAATCCAGATTGCTCCGGCCTCTGGTGCCTCAGCAGGTGGTCTCTGATATGTCTTAGGATGTGAGTGAGAACCTTGCCCGGTATACTGAGCAGTGTGATGCCTCAGTGATTGCTGCAGTCCCATCGATCCCCTTTCCCATTCCAGAGAGGGATGACCACACCCCTCAACAGGTCAGATGGAATAGTATCAGACTGCCAGATGGCAGCCTGGTACTATTCCCTCTGGCATGCAAATCCCGAGTCAGGTTCACCACCACCATTTAACAGTTCAGCTGTAGTGCCGCAGGTACTTGCTGCTTTACCACTCTTCAGCTATGCGATCACCCCCCTAACTTCATTTAGGGAGAGTGGATCCTCACTGATGGTGGGTCCAGCAGTGGAATCTCGACACCACCCGCGTCCAAATTAACTGTTGGTGGATCAACCTGGTAAGTTTTGATAAGCAGGACGTTCATTTTCTAGGAAATGGCTTTCGACCTTCTCTGCAAGACTCCTAATATATTGTTCCTTGTCCATTCTCAGCAGTGACCGTGTCCTGCGCACCTGGAAACGATGCAAATCCCAATCCTCTGTCAGATGAACCGCGCGACAAGCTTCTAGTGGCTTCTTGTGTCTCCTGCGAGATAAAATTCTGCATTGCTCTTGTGCGTTCACCAATCGATTCTTCAGATGCATTGAGCATTTCATTCTTGAAGGTGTCACACAGCACTATAGGGTCCGTCAGGTCAAGCGCTGCAAAACGATCAGAGAGTGCCTCGGCAAACCCATTGAAGTCACTCATAACAATACGAATATCTCGCCAAGGACAACTGTCCGACATAGAAGCAAGTTTGGCATATCTTTCACGTCATTAGCACTCAATCCTCCAGAACTGCAGTTCTGTAGTAGGAGCGTATACAGCAATACGAAACATGAAGCCAAATTCAAGCTTCTGTCTCAGTATTATTATACGCTCTTCGATCGGAAGACAATGTAGAAGACCATCCCTACATGGTCCTACCACAAGGCGCTAGACGTTACTTTATAGCTTCTGGAGCATCTTTTCCTAAACAACAGATTCCATTGAACTCTGTTTCTATCTGTCATGGAAAGGGGGTCTGGATCTTATAATAACACCGCTCCCGTGTGTTTATCCTCCTTCACTTATGCTGATCGGGATAACGTCCCTCAGGCTCAATTGGTCTATAGCTACTCCTTGTCGCTCATTTTCCTGCATTTGCTTGGCGTGATGTGAGTGCAGGAGAGGAAAGTGGGTGTCTGGTGTATCATTTGTCCCACCACACCTCTGACGTACCATGTGTAATGCTGGGGTTCCGCCCTCTACCTTCACGCATAGAAAGCCGTGGTCGACAAGGGGTGCAGGATGGAAGTGCCGATCGGTAAGGACCATATTCTGCCCTTACAGAGTCACGATACCCAACCCTGTTTGTATATATTTAATTCATAACTGCATAAATATTTTCGATTGTAATGAAATGTATTGCACCTCTCTCGCAGTTTCTAAACAACTTCCAGAGGTCCCATTAAATATTACATAAAGGTTAGTATTTGAAGTATGAATCATTTTTATGTATTTCTGATGCATTCACCTGGAACCCTCGTTGCAAAAACTGTGCTTTTTTTACTTGTTTCCATTATAAGTTAATGTATATGAGCACTGACGGTGACGACAATGAGGAGGATAAGATGGTACGAGATACATTTTCCAGTTATTTGATCCCCCCCCCCTTCCCATCCCGTACCTGCCTTTGTGTTCAGTAGTTTGTACGAATGATTCTCTGGCGGTCACCAGGGACCTCCATGGTGGTTCAGTACAATTTTATTACCTAAGGGCCAGTTCGTTAAGTTTGTGCAAAGCCGTCACAATGAATATTTACATTTACGGACATGCGTATACACAGAAATAAATGCATATATGTGTCTCTGATAGATAGATATTTATCCACTATCTGCCCGGTAGATATACATGTCTAGATCATGTTTTTATGTCTACATATACACATGCCCGTAGAAT